CCCCCCCCCCCAACAGTGAGGATTTAATTTTGGTAATACTACCACATCGTCCATATTCACTAGACATCAATCCATCCAATTATCAACTTCACAAGAACATTGAATATACTCTACTTGAATGTATTCTTTAATTACAAACCAGGTTATCGCAAGGCTACACGAACGCTATGAAAGAGTTGATAATAATTGCCGCAATTATATTAGCTGTTATCATATACATAATTGAGAAAATAGGAAAAACCGTTATTTAGTTGTTTAATTGCGCGATTTTAATTGGTATCACTAAAATATTAGTCGATTAAATTTGTACTTGAGTTACACTCATAAAATTAGTGGAATATTGGCAAAGAGAGTACAATGAGTTGACGAGTGTCCCAATTAACGTCATCTAACCTGCGCGTACATACAAGGTCTTCCGAGTGCTTCTGTATTCTAGTTTATCGAGCACGTGAATAGGCGTTTCCTGAAAACACCTTTTCTCGCGCAATGTGCGTTGATGTTTCCCCTTTTGCATGCTCGCTGGTCGTAGTGCGGCCGTGTGACCTAGGCTACGCGCTTGGCCATCCCGTTTTGTGTATGTGTCGCCCCAACCCATCCGATACACACACACACTCGCGCCAGGCTGGGCTAAGCTTCATTTTTTCCGACCTGCAGCCGTCATGCACTCAGGATTTTGCTCTATTCTTCCCTGCTCACTGGTTCAATAAAGTATCACGGAGGTTTGTCACCTAGGTAAGTGGGGCGTGCGCCAACTTTTCATAAATATTGACCTTCATATTGTAGACTATTCCGACAACTTAGTATTTTTGCTCGCCAATGGAATAAAAAAACAACAGATCTAAGATATGAATGCACAGTGTCGCTAATTTTTGCATGTTCCTAAAAGGAGTTGCATTTATCTTGATGGCCTTAGTTAATAGAATAACGCCCGATTTCATGGGGGAGACAATATTCAGAAAATTAAGTGGACGTTGATGTTACGTCGATTTATTGCATTCGTGACTAGCTATGATTACTTTTAATCTCTAAACCTTTCTAAAGTTCTCTCACCAGTTCCATAACTATGATTTTGTTGAATTTTACTCTCTGCTTAAATAATTTTTCTATTCCTTTTTATCAAGGACATTTACTTGCCAAATATCAAACTCTCGATTATAAAAGAGTTGATTTGTTTTGAGTAAAATTACGAATTGAGGCTATAAATGTTGATGAAATAGTTGATAAAGCGTAGATCGAGGCTAATTTTTTGCTCCGAAATGAAAAATCAATAATTTTACAATATTTCCACACTTTTATATTTATTTTTACTTCTTAATAAGTAACGGAGAGAAGAAAGTGCTTTTTAACACCAGCTTAAATTTATACAGATTGTGCTTCAGATATTTCACAATTTTTTATTAGTATTTCTATCTATATGCACTTTGTACTCGGGCTTCAATTGCAACCTTAAAAAGGTAGATGTTAATTTGAATGGCCAAATTTTCAGCTATGAATTTAATATTTTCGTCCCATGTTCACTTCGTTGGAGTAAAAATACCAAATTGACCGAAAAATTGCGATGATAATGAATTCTTGTCAGGATTTTGTACACATTATGCGCTTGCTAAATTATTCACAACTTATTAAGAATTACAAATTTCGCTTTGAAGGGAGAGAAAAATCGTAAATTATATTTACCACTTTGAGTTTTCAATCTTGAGTTTATAGGAAAAGATCATAACGGCAAATATTATTTCTCTTATTATTTTCGTAATGGAGACCTTTTAACAATGGGAGTTATTTGAATGACATATTTTAAACGAAAAAATGTTGCAAGTAGATGTCTATTAACTGGGACGAAATGATGATGAGAAGTGTTCATGATTTGATATGATACATAATGAAATTAAATGATCCAATGAATAGATTATAGAAGTGTATTAGATGAGGGGCATTGCTGAAGAAAAGTTATTTGGGAGATTTCGTTTCAAATTTGCCGAAAAAAATTGAGGTAAATATTTGTATTGCTGTAAAATAAATGTAAGTATTAGTTTGTTGATTAATATTTTTTTTCTGTCTTCTGATAAGTCTTGCGTCTTGCTATGGGAAGGAATATGCCTTTGATTACCTACATCGTGGAGTTGTTAAGGTACAACTAATGCATTGTGAAAATGTCAAGATTTCCTAAAATGTGATTTTCGGTTTGCAGTTGTTTAATGATATTTTCCTTACTTTGGGTATAGGCAATAAAACGGAACTCCAACTTAAATGAAAGTGGATGGAAGTTCTAATAAACGCGATGCAATAAACCCCATTATTATGTAATGATGCCAATTAAAATAATTGAGAATTACTTTTCATCCGAAATACTTTTGCGAATTTCAAGAATAGGAATAAACTTATCAAGCTTAAAATTTGATATATTCACTAAGTTCGATTTGTTACGTCATACTATTCCCAAAATATTGTTAAACTTCTAAAATAATGAGTTGGAATAAAAATGTTTTTCTAAGTCTGTAATAATTTTTCCTAAAATATAGAAATGTTCATCAATCCAATATTTAGTTGGTTATTTATAACACTTCCGCTCTCATATTTAAAGTTTCTTCCAAAATTTTAGGTAAAAGACGTATTTCACGTTGCCCTGGACCACGCAAAAGCGGAGTCCCTAATTGCCGACCAAGCAGCAAAGCTTTTATTTTATGTAGCCCAAAAACAGTTTCAATATCTGAGGAAACTTAAAACCAACGCATTGTTATCATCATCGACTGTATCTACGAGTCTGGATCGTGAAGAAGCCGAAGAGGTTGAATTTCAGGTGGAAAACAAATCCAGCGTAGTAGACATTTCAAGCGGTTCCGCAGGTAGTACTGAGGATCGATTAAGCGTCTGTCACCGATTCATCAGTTGGTCAATATTTGCGGGTATCTGGTTGGGTTTTATTGCTTCTATAATTTTAACCTTCGTTGGCATCTGGACGCCATATCGCAACTGCCTCACCATTGGAGTCATCCTGGCCATTGTCTGCCTTGGAGTGGCAGTTCACAACTGCCTGAGACATGGAGATACTGCACCGGCGGTTCTATTATATGAACGGAGGAACAGCCAACTTTCCTTGAGCTGTGAACTTGAGGTTGCGGTGGAGGCAGAAGAAATTCCTGAAGGAGATGGAGAAGGTGAAGTGTGTTCAAGATCTGTCTCATTAAATGAAAATCGTTCCATGCTAAATGAGGATGAAAACGGGGTCCCAGTATGTACTGGCGGTAAGTTAAATTAAAACTATATTTATTGTCAAGCTAGTTCAACCTGCATGAAAAATTTCTTCATTAAAAGCAAAAAACAAAACTGTTTGAATTAAGTGGTCATATGGTCTAATAAGAATAAATGAGCGATGTCAAAATGTCATCATTATTTTAGAGTAAAATTTGATAAAATTTTAACGGGAGAAAGTATAATGTCTTTCCAAATGAAATGCTATTTAATTTTTCCAAAAGCATTAGGAATTTCAAATTTCCATCTGCATTTCATTAAAGACTGCCAATATCTGTACCACAAATTTATATGAATTAGAACTCTTAATAAAGTTACTACCCATATATGTTTCAAAATTTTTCAAGATGAAATTAATGGTTTTGAATATTTATATTAAGCTACTCTAAATCATTACATTAGCATTCAATTTTTAACTTATATTGCTTGTATTTACGTAACAGACATTTTGTTAAAAAGCTCTTTCATCACGTCTTAACACGGTTGTTTAAAGGGAGATATTAGGGTTGTGTCAAGTAAAGATGACGTCCAAACTTGTCAAGGATTGCCAACAAATATGTTGTGACAAAATGGTAGGAAATTCAATTCCATTTGTCCAAAGTGTATTGAAAGAATCTCAATATAAATTCTAACGAGGATATTTATGATAAATTTAAAGAAAATTCCCTAAATTGAGCTATGGGAGGTACTCGAGATTTAATGACGACCTTCAAATATCCTTATCTTAATTTAAATACAATTATTATAATAAGCCAGAAACAAAATTATATACATACCAATGTCAAAAATTTGACATTTGTCTTTCATTACCAGTCTTTATACGAGAATTTCAACTGTACCTCACACAATTTCAAAAACTTTTCATGTTATTTTTCATCCAATGGCATTAATGAAATCTGAAAAAATTATTATAAATTAAAAATGGCTAATTTTAATAAAGTATCAGAGCTGGAGAGAGTTCAGCGATAGTGTTTGCTAAGATTTAAAAATTCTTTGATAATTTTCAAATTGCTAAAAAACTAGACATTAATGAATTATTTTAATGGCATTTTTAAGTGCCACTTACAAATATAAATTTCTTTCCTGAAATTTATTTATTGTTGCTTAATGTAATAAATTGATAAATTTTGTAAAAATTGTCAGCTGTAAAATTATAAGTTCATGCAACTGCACATTTATTCAATCAATTTCATGACTTCTCATTTCACTGACAATCATGCCTTTGAATTAAATGAAAAAAATATTAAAAAATTTGAAAATAAGGGAGTTGTTTAAGCACTGCGAATTCGATATGAATACCTCTGTTAGGTTGATAAAATCCCATTTAGCCTAAAATACTGAAGGGAGAAAGGAACGTAAATTACCAAATAATTTTTTCTCAATTTCGACTGTCATTTCTAGCTCTTTTCTAAGCTCGTTTGTTTTAATCCTATGTTATATTAGTGTACTTATATTAATATAACCATTTGCACTTTAAATACAAGCGCACGAGTGTGGAATCTATTTATTAAAGGAGTAAGTAACGTGTTATAGCGGTTTATTTCAAATATGACAGTTATTAACTTTCCGGTTAAATCTTATCCTGCCCAATATGTTGCAAAAATGAGCATATTTTTTTTAAAAACCAGATTGTCTAAAAGTGTCACAATTTACTTAATTTTGCCAACACGATTTGGATTAATGTTGAAGTTACGATTATTAAAATATAATAATCACGTAGTAATTATGATACTATTGTAGACAAAATCGTATATTTATAGTTGTACATTGTTTTTACTTGATTTCAGGCAAGCAATCTTCAAAAGGAAGAATGTTAGTCGTCTGTTTTAAAACAACGAAACTATTTTATATCGGCAAAAACAGGAAACACTATATTGCATTAAATCGTCCCATAAGACATTTCGACTCGGCAGTTTTCAAAACCAGTCAAGATAATTATCATCATCATCTCTCCATTGAAACACGACAAAAAATAAGTTCCTTGAAATCATTGGTATCGAGGAATTGTGTGCTTAGTAAATGAGTGATGATCAGAAGGATAGAGAGAGGGGGGGATAGGAAAGATATGGAATTTTGTACTTACTAATTGGTCAGGTTCCAAAGTGTTAACTGCACTATTTGTTCTCTGGGTTGTCATAAATCCTTATCTGTCATGTTTAATGCTTACTGTCAAGTTGTGCTTAAGCCAGAAGTTTTGACCTTACCGCTTCAATCTATTTTTTCAGGGATTGAGAAGGCTAAATTGTCCATCTTGTCATACAAGGCTTATGTTTTTAGCGCAATAGAGAGATAAGTTTGCTAAGTCGCCACAACACATGAAAAGCAGGTATTTTAAAGTCCGCCAATCGAACATCAGTAATGTCTGAACGTTAAATAAACCAGATAAAAAGGCAAAATTTTTCCCCATGCAACTTTGCTACTGAATCGTTAATAAAATATAAAACATCATTATTGATATTCCAAAATTCAAATGTACACTACTGAGCAATACCAGTTCAATGCTCTAATTTGAAGTTTTTTTTATTGATTTACTCTTCTGTTAAGAGTTGCAGATTCTTTCCTATTTTACTTTTTTTATTCTTAAAGCATCAAAATATTACTTCTTGATTTTGACAGACCAATGTCACCCTCACAATGATGTTGAGGCTGCGCGAATACACATCCACCCACGAAAGGTCCGTCGTGATTCTGCCTTCCACAGTCTCACTAGAGCTATCATTAGTACACTGACACGTGCAGGTCGTGGTGGCGGTGCTGGTAGCGGTGGTGGAGGAGTTGGCGGAGGCGGAGGTTTCTATCCAGATCCTCGTAATCCTTGGAATTCGAACTTTGAAGGGCACATTGGATGGCAATCTGCCATGGCTAGACCTGATCCCTTCTATTCAAATTCCTACTACCAATAATCAGCTCACCCTCTCTCAATTTTCTTCCCTATGGACCTATGTAAAGACAGATCAAATTTTTGCTATGATGTGATGTGAGATATCTTTTGTACATTTTGAAAATGCTGTTAAATGCATCTATAATATCGATCAATTTACTTCCAATTTCTAACCTAAAGTGGCCATATATTGTCCGTGTTACTTGTGAAAGCCTGTTTGCGTTATTGACCAGTTATTATTATTAAGGTAACGAAGTTTAATAAAAATTAACGAACACAAAATTCCATAACTTTTTGAGTTGACTCGTGATATTTGGCGAAATATAATTAGCAAAAGATATTAGCTCATGGGAAACATTTTGAATTGTATTATAGATTACTATATTAGACACATATAAATGTGCTTTCAGGCATTAAAAATGAAAGTTGAATGAATTTCTGCAAAGTGTAACTCCATCTTAATAGATATTTTAAATTTCAATTTGTTAGACGTAATAAAGGGTTCAGTTTTCATAAAAATTACCTCCTTTCAAGGATAAAAACTTTTGTTTCAACTGACAGTAAAGACGGGGGGGGGGGGGAAATGTTTACCAAAACTTTAGCATACGATTTTTTTAAACGAAAAATTTTCACAACTTGACATCTGATTTAGAAAAGAAAAACTTAGATTTTTCTGAAATTGTGTAGTTTTAAAAGATATCAAATTGATTATGTTATAAGCGTCAAGCGTTTCCATGACTTTTGGAGGCAAATGAGTGTGTTTGGCAGAAAATATCTAAAAATATTCATTATTATTAATTAAATCCTATTATTCTAAAATTTTTATTCACTCAGTTTTAAGTAACAAATGAATCCATAATTTTGTCTCATAAATGGATAAACGTAATTGAAGTATAGTAGTTAAAATCTTCATTTGATCACAAAGTAAGGGAGCATATTTGGAGTTATTAATGTTGCTTAATTAACTACGTTAAGCTAATTTTCTTACCAGGATTTATATTGTCCCATCAAATAAATTTGAACTTTTTATTAAGAGATTACTTTATGCTGAAATGTTAGTTACAAAAAGCTATTATATCTTATAACAATACAGTGTGCCACACATTTAATAAAATTATTATAAAGCCTATTCTATCATTCCATTGAGGACAAAGAAAGTAATAACTTATTATATTGAGTATAACCTGAATTATTTTATTACTTATTCATTCCATGTACGGTATTTTGATGGCCTATTTGTAGAACAATGAGAGTTTATAGTGACAAAAATGTGACATTTAATTGATATTATTTTTAACTAGGCAAATATTACTAGATGACAAGTTTCCCTGATAAAAATGTTAGCTTAATGTTAACTTACACCTGAAAATCAAAATCGGTACGTGTTAAATTGAACTTAAAGATGATACTGTTCATGGGTTAAATCATGAAATCTGAAACCCGATTTAATGTGTACCATTTATTACTTATCAAAATTTATGGTTTCAGTTAGGGGTGTGCGATAGACTTACCTCCACGTGGTGCACCCTGGGAAACGTATACTCATACAGCTAAAAGGTCTATTAACCTGAAATTGACTTCTCACTTCAAGCTACCATAACCCCACTGTATGTCATATTCGACTACTTTCACAGTACTCACTTCACCCTCTTTCTACCTTCTCCACCTTCGTCTTTGAAACACTCTTCTGTTCCTTCCCATCTCGACTTTCTTTCACTTTGTTGTTCCTTCCCCTCTGTGAAGCCTGAAGTCAACTAAAGGGCTAATGATAACCATCAAAATGCCTGCCATTTGATGTA